ACACTAGGGTTACACTCCACCGTATTTTGCCCTTACAAGCATTCCATTACACTGGGTGATGCCCGGTCCTCATAACTCAGACAAGAGGCTGGACTGTGCCCACCCTCTTTTAGTGACCTTACGTGACCTTCTGTGATAATATAAATTTTGTGATCAGTTAATGTTGATGATGAGAACTTAAGAAGCGCATATTGCAGTCTGCTTCTAAACGGTACTTTTCTAAGGACATACATTGCGACATCGCTTTGAGGTGTACGTGACGTATTTTTTGTAATCAAGTGACCAGGCCTTACCACTCGGTTACTACAGTGGCATCATATATGACGCGATTCTTGCATACACTCCGTGATGATGAGTCGATCAGAGCAGATATCGATCGCAAATATGAATTTTGTTTGTACTGCTGACGAGCACATACAACGGTGGTCTTTTCTAGACAGAAGAAATATTTGACCTTTCATTGTTCAGCGATAAGAAGTTTTTGTTTATCGTCAAAATTTGTTATGTCGGTGAAATACTTACAGTTTTATTGAAAGGTATCTTCATGATCAACCATAATTTTGCGTCACAAGCCACAAAATCATAAACGGAACCACCGTATTGTACCATTAATCAAGAGGGAACCAGAAGCGTGTTTCATATTCAAAACGGATGTATGATTACACGATGACTTATGTTTTTTTTTATTAATGATTTCATCTCGAACCCGAGAGTCGACTCGACTATAGTGAAGTCCATTAGGCGTATTAAGTTGCATATGTTTAGATTACCGATGTTCTGTGCGTCCAGGAATTTTGTGGTATCTTCGGCTGGGATATCATGAGTTATGCCTTTTCATGTATCACTTGGCTGCTAATCTTATATCAACTGCTTGAATAATAGTTTCTGGCAAAGGTGAATACCCTAGTCAAGGAATTTAATAAGAGAATTCGTCATCTCTTAGAATGAATTTGAACTGCAGGTGTATTAAGATCAGTTAATCCACAAGTTCATTGCCATTTGTCCGTGCAGTGCGACTGCGGTCCTCTAGGCCAGACTGTGGAACAGATTTTTGAATCCTCTCCAGACGCTAAACGAAAGGGCAACTTCGATTCAGATTAGCACTCTTGATACAATGACTTGACTCAGAAATTCTGACCTTTTTGTCAACTAGCTATTCACGTTCAATCGTTTAGTGGAATACGATGAACACTTCCTCATTTGCTTTCGATGTGCTGTTATGTTGTTTGTTAATTTTCAGTATCAGTAGTAGATACTTCTCCCACTTTGTTGATTTTGAAAATATCTGCGCATAATGAAGCCTTTTTCTTCTTTCTGCATCGTTAGAAAAGTGTTACTGTTAGCGGGATACCGCGATCGGCACCTGTCACAGTTTAATAAAACGACACGAAATGAAAACACGAATCATCAGGATGCTCCTGTTGAAAACATTCTCTAGCTACAATCAGAATCGTGTAAGGAGGGTAAAGACTTGGACTCATGACGTAGAAATCTTTGCGACGAGAAGCGCGTCTTTGCTGCAGTAGTAATGTTGCGTTACATTCTTTTGAGAAGCTATTCACTTATTAATTTCAAAATCCGCTATTTCTTTCGATTCAGGGCGAGGAGGGGAGAGTTGCTTCAGAGGAGGTTCTTCAAAGGTTCTGATCCAGTGCTAAACCGAGAAGCTCATTTGTCTGGATTTCGTTTGAAGAGACCGCAGTCGGAGAAAATATTTGACCATTCTTGACATCTCTGCTGTTCATATGTAAAGACGAAAACTGCCACAGGTTGTTCTTAAAAATGAGTTTCCAGCGTTCGATAGTTATTGGCACAAGCGCTCAGTGCCTACCCTGATGATGCCCACGATTTCTTGGCCTAAACATTGCCGCAAAGAAGGTCCCAGAATATTTATTGGCATGTCTGTGTCTATAACCATTTTAGTCTTTGCAGTTGCATTCACATGTGCCTTATTTGACTGACAGTAAAGAGTAGCTTGAAGCAAACCTGTTTTCTGACTAAAAAGTATAAGGTCTATTATTTGGTTGATAAATGTTCAAGAATAGATTTCACGGCCCAGAGTTTTGTGTATCCTTAAACGCAGCTTCGAAGAAAAACAAAATGATGCATAATGCGTATGGTTGACGCATGTTGCACTTCAGCGTACAGTTTATAGGGCATGAGCAGATATAATGTTAAGTACTCAGTGTGAGATCGGCTGCATGTATTGTGGTAGGTTTTTGTTTTCCAGTTACGATGGGCAGAAAGAAGTAAACGTAGTTATACAGAAAAGCAACTATGCCGTAACCACTGATCAATTGTGATAAAGCGCTGAATGTTGTCATTTGAGAGGATAGTGGCATTTGATTCTG